CCTCCTTCACCCTTGTTTAGACCAGGCTGTGTGTCCTTTGTGCCACCTAGTGGCCACTCTGGGAGTGACAGCTTCCCTCTCCAGGCCCATGCAGAAGAGGGAGAACTGGAGGGAGACCAGCATGCAGAGAATGATAAAAAAACAGATGGAAGATGAATCCATAGTGGAGAGGCAAGCAGATGTAGGAATAGTAAAGAGCAGTCATTTATTGAGCCAACGCTGTGGGCCAGGCAGTGTCCTGGGTGCTTGACCCACATTAATGACTCAAAAAATTTTTTTTACTGAACTTGTAGCCATCTAGTTATACATTATTTAGTTATAAGTATTTAATTGCACATTTGTTATCTCATATAAGGAATACATATATTCAGGAGAGAATGAGTCCAGAATAGGGAAAGATCACAACCTGAGCCAGATCGCGGGAAGCCCTCTGTCCTCTAGATCCCAAGAGGGGCTGCCCTGAGCACCTCTTCCCCACCCACAGCGGGAACACCAGCCATTTAGCCTGCAGTGTGACGCTGTATATGAAGCCTTGAAGATGCCCTACCGAATCCTGCCCCAGCAGCTTCCCCGAAAGGAACTTCAGGTGAACCTGGGCCAGAGGTCTGGGCCAAGGAAGCTAAGGCTCAGAGTACTGGGCCTGGCACTAGGACTGGGACACGGGTGGGGGCTGGACTTGTTATTGTAAAAAATATGTATTGAGCATTCCTGTGTGCCAGGGCCTGTGCTGGGTCCTGGGGATATAACAATAAGCAAGATGAACAGTCTCTTCACTTTTGGAGTTCACAGGCTAGCGGGCAATGAGAACACAGTGTGACAAGTGCCAGGATATTTATGGGAACACATCAGAGGGACACTTAAACTCAGTCTTGCAGTGTCAGGAAAGGCTGCCTGGAAGAAGTGATGTTTCAGCTGAGACCTGAAGAATAAATAGGAACTAACTACGGGGCTAATCAGTCAGGAAAGGTATATTCTCTGGGGAGAGGAAATTAGCAGGTGTGAAGACTCAAAAGTACAAGATAATAATGCACATCTTGGGAATTTAAATTTTGAAGTTCAGAATTCTGTTAGCCCAACGTGGGAGGTGAGAGGTGGTCTAGGTCCGATAGCAAGTGGGAGCCAAGTGGTGGGTGGGGAGTACTAATGGCTTTTCAGTGACCTCTCCTGACTTGCTCCCTAGGTGGCCACGGCTGTGCAGTGGACCAAGGCAGAAGGCAGCCACGGCGTCCCACTGTGGATCATTATCCTAGCCATCCTCATTGGCCTCCTGCTCCTAGGGCTGCTCATCTATATCCTCTACAAGGTCAGCCACATCCTACCTGTGACTTGGCCACTCCCTCATCAGGTTCTGCCCTTAACCCAACATAGTCCCACGCATCTATCTCCAGACCAGGTCTCCAGCCTCAGGCCCCCTCCTCTGCCCTGGCCACGTGCATGCCATCCTGACCCTGCCTGTAGGATCCTTCCCTTCATTCCACAGCCCCTAGCTTAGAAAGAGTCTCTTGACTCAAGCTGAGAAGTTTGCCTAGACTTGCAAAATCAGTGACACTCACAAGTGGCAAATATGTGGCATTTGTGCCATTATCACTTCCCCCCAAAACTAATGGCAGCCATCACTAATTGGCCGTATCCTGGAAGTGGCCTCAGAATCCTTCTCAAGAGGCAGCCACTACTAAGCATTCAGACGTAGACCTTGAATTCAAACCTGTTTGCCATCCCTGGCCTAACTGGGGGCAATTTACAGCACTGATGAAAGAACCCCTTATACCAAAAGCACTCCCAGCTTTAGCCCTCCTGGCCCATTGGACCTATTGGAGAGGTAGTCTTAACAGCCAGGATTTAGGCCACTTTTGCAAAATGGGAAGATTGGAAGCACTAGAATCCTCTTCATTTCCTCTTGGGATAAGATATGGGGAGAAATGGAAGCCAGAATATCTAAACTCTCCCTCCTTACCCCCTCAATTAGCTCGGATTCTTCAAACGCTCCCTCCCATACGGCACGGCCATGGAAAAAGCTCAACTTAAGCCACCAGCCACCTCTGATGCCTGACTCCTCCCGATTCCAGACTCCCAATCCTCAAGGCCCAGTAACCCCACCCTCAGTCTACTGACAGGGAGGGGACTGGGCACTTCCTGAAGGTGCTGAGGGCCAGGGAGAAGCTCCTCTCCCCAGCCTAGAGACATACTTGAAGGGCCAGAGCCGGGAGGTGAGGAGCTGGGGATCCCCTCCCCCCATGCACTGTGAAGGACCCTCGTTTACACATGCCCTCCTCATGGATAGGGGAACTCATATCCAGGGATAGAGGCCCCAGCCTCCCTGTAGCCTTTGCATTTTGGAGAAAGTTTCCTGAAAACAACTTGGAACCAGCCCTGGGAAATCCGATCCCAGTTCTCTGGGCCAGATGTGCCACCAGGACTTCCTGTCCAGCTCCAGCCTGCAAAGATCTATCCTCAGTCTTGCCAGAGATCCACAGGAAGCCCCCAGTAAGAACCTGGAACCCGGGGAGTGAGACCTGGAAGCTCTGGACAGCCCCCACCCTGGTGGGCCAACAAGGAACACTAACTGTGGATGGTGCCCCAGGCCCAGCTCAGGACAGATCCCAAACAAGGATCATGCTGGCTCAGAACCAGCTCCAAGGGGATTCAGAACTCCAATGGGGCCAGATCGAACCTGGGGCCTGGGGTTGATCTGGGACCCAGACTCAGACGTTGGTAACCTAACCAGGCAGATCCCGGACTACATTTGAGCCTGTTCCAGACCTGGGCCTGGAGGCCCAATCCACCTCTGACTAGGGAGAAGTCAGGAATTGCCCAGGACCCTGAAGGGGCCATGATGGTAACAGATCTGGAACCTCATCCTGGCCAGGAGCAGGCCCTCCCAGTCCCCAAGAAAAAGGGGAGCCCACTGTCCTGGGCCTGCAGGATTTGGGTCTGCCCACTAGCTGCACTGATGCTGCCCCTTTCTCCTGCCCAACCTCCCCTCACCTCAGCTCCGGACATCCGGGACTTATTTAAACTCTGTTGCAAGTGCAATAAACCCGGCCCGGTGCCCCCACTGACCAGAGCTGGAATTTGTGTCCTAACCTACTCTTTCCAAACCCATCCTGGAACCAGATGGCTTGATGCATAGGAAATGTCTGTTTTTCACAGCTTCTTTCCTTGGGAGTCAAGAGTATGACCCCCAGGAACTATGGAACTACTTTTTGGGTTTTAGATGAAAGAGGTGATGGAAGGGGTGAAAGGAGGACTTGACTCCTTCCCATCACCCAGCCCCACCAGATCTGGTTCCCAGCACCTCCCAGAGAGAAGAAAAAGAATCCCTTCTCCTTGGGTTTAAGCATTAAGGGAAGAATGAAAAGCAGGAGGTCCAAGTTGAAGGTGGGGGAAGATGGTCCAGAAGACTCACCTTGGCCTTCTCTAAATCGGAGTAATGAAATGGCTTGAGAGAAAAAGCCACAAAATGAAATCAGAAGAAAGCCAGTTAGGTTTTTGTTTTGTTTTTATTGCTCATTATACACTGGTAGGTAGAGAGGGTGTTAAATAGTTCACATACGTTATCATTTAATTTCTCTATCAATAATCCTGTGAAGTAGGTACAATTAACCCCATTGACACAAGGGAAGATTGAGGTCCAGAAAGGTTATATAACTTGCCCAAGGTCACCCAGTGAGTGCCAGAGCAGAGTCGAATCCAGCCTTGTCTGACCGTGAAAGTCCTCATTCTTAAACAACATGCCCCTAGGGTTTAGGTCTTTGAAAAGAAATCGAAGTGAGGGAGCCCCTCGGGGTCCTCTGTCTTTTCAAGGCCAGTCCTAATGCGCCACAAGAGGAAGGAGAGGGTGCTGAAATTCTAACGGATTGTTGGAGGCAAAGATGGCCATGTCATGCTAGACCAGAATTCAGCCACCAGAGGGCAGCATAGCCACAAATTTACGGGAATTTGGGGCGGGGGAGTGCTTGAAGTCCATCTCCTCTTTCCCCCACCACCCAGGCTATTCTTTTTTTTTTTTTTTTTTTTAAAGATTTTATTTATTTATTTGAGAGAGAGAGAATGAGAGACAGCATGAGAGGGAAGAGGGCAGAGGGAGAAGCAGACCCCCTGCTGAGCAGGGAGCCCGATGTGGGACTCGATCCCGGGACTCCAGGATCATGACCTGAGCCGAAGGCAGTCGCTTAACCAACTGAGCCACCCAGGCACCCCACCCAGGCTATTCTTATTAACTTAGGCTTCTGCCTAGCAGTGCCTGCATCACCTTAAACATATCTCTTTCCTGGGAGATCAAGGCTGCTGCACACTCCCATCTATGACTTCTTGATAATTGTACCTCAGACCTTTCCAGAACCTATAAATGAAGAGGGACTGATAAGGAGGAAGAGACCTAGTAAGGCCAAGAGCCACCCAGTATTTCCAAGGATGGCAGCTGATGCATAACAAGGCACTGGGAATTCTCAAGGAAGGAAATCTCATATTCCCCTGCTTGGGGGAGGGGTGGGATTGGCCTCAGCCAAACTCCAGGGGCCAGATCTGAGATTTCTTACAGGGGCAGGAAGAAATGAGGAAGGGAAGTGAGCTGTGTGGGGTATTGGGCTGGTGTCATGGGTGTGTCTGTATAGTGCCTGTAACTGATTCTCAGAGAGTGACAAGGTCTCTCCTGAGGGTATACAATATGAGAAAGGCCACAGTTGCATCTAGCACCTGCCTTCCTGCCCCTGAACTGTACTCAGGCTCTGGTCTGTTTCCCCTTCCAAATCTCCCAGCCCCTCCAGAGGATGTCTGCCTCTCATCCTGAGACTTGAGCCATCCAGAGGGACAGGAGGGTAGGGGGCTAGGAGGCCTGAGCCCTTTCCTCATCTGTTTGTACAGAGATGGGAAGGAGGCCCAGGGAAGGGAACAGAGCAGCTGGGGGTGCAGGGAGGGGGAGGGGGCTCAGGAGAGGCAGCTGGCAGGCGGGAAGCTGATCTGGGGGTCTCAAGTTTCTTGACATCAATTAGAGCAACCGGCCTGGGCTCATTAGTAGCCCGGGGTGCAGGGCTCATCAATAATGAATTCACCCTGCACACTGCCCCCCCACCCCCTGCCCCTGGCTGCCTGCAAAGTCACCCCGCCCTCCAGCCAGCTGCCTCACCTTGGTAAGTTATGCAACCCCTCTTCTGAGATCTCCCTAACTCAGAGTCCCTGGGGGCAGTGTGGGAGGGTTGACAAGGCGGAGGGCAAAGGGGTCTCTATCACCAATCAACCACACCTACTGTTGATTCTTGTTTGTTCTGAGTCCACCAAGGAGGGGAAATGGGAAGAGGCAAAAAAGTTGGTGGGGGGGCAGTGCAGGAGGTAGGATGGATAACAGGGCCTGGGGAGAAGCAGGCTCTGTGATACTAGGGTTGAACAACACAGTAGCAGGGTGGAGCTGGAGTAAGAGGACCTCCTCTGACTGGCTAGGAGGACCCCCTACATTCTCTCCCAAGGCCAGATTTGGGCAGCAAGGTCACAGTCCCCTGAGATCTCTGGGCCTCTGTATCAGAACGAGACCAAGGCATTGAAACCCCCAGCATTCTCTTGCCATTGACCTGGGACATCTTCAAACCAGATCAGTGGGGTAAAGGCAAGAGACTGCTGAAGTCCAGAATCAGGAACTTGAACTTCTGGTACCTTAATTAGTCATCTAGTCCCACTTCCCTGCTGAACCCAGGAATGCCAGGCCTCAATCCCCCTTCCCCAAATGTTCCAAGACTCCAGTCCTGCCACCCTTCCACCAACCTCTTCCTCCCTGCCTCCACCCTCCTTAAATCCCAAGCGTTCTAGTTCCCAGTCACACCTTCTTTCCCTCTGGCTGGGACTGGCCTGAAGCTGGCTGCATGGCATTCTGGGAAGTCCTCCTGCCGCCCTCCCTCTTGGGGCAGGTATAGACAGGTCCAGGCTGTAGCAGCTGCATCTTCCCCAGACACTTCACAGACTCCCAGACTCCAGCCTCATGCTGGGGTCCCAGTTGCTCATCTCTAATCAAGTCCCCCTGTTAGTCCTTAAAATACATCCAATGTCCTGCACAGCCCCCTGACACTCTCCGCAGCCCATACATTCTGTCGTATTCCCCATCTTCCCCTCCACCTCACCAAACACCCCCACTAGTCCTCTTCAATCCAAGGTCACCTTAATGGGGAAGGCCCCGGGTTTGGGCCCTGATGCCTGATGGATGCTCCTATCCCCACCCCAGTTCAGGTCATTTGTATAGAATTGAGCCTCAGTTCTGGATTTTGTATCATCTTCTGGTTGCCCTAATGATCACAGTTGCAAGCTTCTTTTTCCACCTCATTGATTGCAATCTCTTCACTCAGACCTTCCCTAAGGACCTAGGCATTTGAACCCCAGCCAGAGATCAACCTGGGATCCATCTTCAGCCCCACATTTACCTCTGAAACCCAGCGCCCAAACATCTTGCTCCAAAGTCGGAGAAACAAAGGACCTTAACATTCTCTGCACTCCTCCACACGGACCCTGCCCAGCCTATCACTCTGAAGAGGACCCAGGTGTCCCACCCAACCCAGGACCCATCCCTCCCCAGAGTACTTAGGCATCCCTCACCCCATATCAGCTCATGACCAGACTTCCTGCCCTCAGACTCAGCCCTTCCCGGGAACCCAGGCATCTTAGTTCCCAGCTTCCTCCATCACTTCACACCGCCTTGTAGATGTGTTCCCCCAGCCCTGGCTGCAGTGACACCGTAAATCCAGGAGACCCAGGGCAGCAAGTGGGAGAGAAAGCGGGAGGGGCAAGGAGCCGCCAAGACGTCCCCTCATTGAGCCCAGGGTGCCCGGGTTCCCCCCTCCTCCCGTCTTCACCTGCTGCGGGCTCCGCCCCCGCTCCGCCTGGGCCGGCCTCTGCTCCTCCCCCGACTCCTCCCCCCGCACCCCCAGCCCGGCCAGAACGGCCCCCGGGACAGAGCGACGCGGAACCCCGGGCGCCTGGGTCCCCAGCATGATCCTCGGTGAGTGGGCTCTGCGGCTCGGGGCTCCGGGGCTCCTGGGTCCCTCTCAGTAGGTCACCCCCCCAACCTCCCGGCACCGCGGTGACTGCGGCCGCCCGTCAGCAACCGGTTCCCCCTCCCCCTTCATCTGGCTTCACATCTGGGGGTCCCCTCTTCCCCTTTTCCCCAAGCGGCCGCTTCTCTGGGTAATTTAGGGATCGGTGAATGGGAAAGCAGAGCCGAGTGAGACCCCCGCCCCATAATGAGGACATTGCGTATTCATGAGGCTCATGAATATTATATGACGGTCTACGAGAGGCTGGGGGAGAGGGCTGATCTTGGCCTGGTGGAGTTGAGGGAAAGGTTCTGACCCGTCCCCCCCCACACACACACACGCCCTCCCCCCACCCTTAGCTCAGACACTCCGACATCCTTCTGGGCCCAGGATAAGGGAAAGGAGGAAGTGGGGGGCGGGCGGGGAAAAGATGGTGGGTGTAGCTTCGAGGTGTGTGTGGTGGGAGGTGGGAACCTGAGGGCCGGAGATAAGGGGGCTGGGGAGAAGCAGGGGTGGGAAGCTGTCCATCCCAGGGCCCCTGCGGCTCCGATCCTGCCTCCGCAGCCATCCTGCCCCAACACGCCGGGACCTGCCCCGCTCTCTCCTTGCTCTGGCTGCCTGGGCCCTTCCTTCCCGGCTTCCTTCTTCTTTCTTCTCCCACCCCCACCCCTGCCTTGGGCCAGGGGCACCAGGGGACAAGGGGCAATGGAGAGAGTAAGGAGGGGAAGGGGAGCCCCCGCGGGACTCTGACAACCCTTCAGCCACAGCCACCCCATCCTCATGACCTACATCGGAAGGGAGCCCCGGGGTGGGGGAGGAGAGGGACTAGCTGTGCGCCTGGACTCCTCCTCAGCTCCAGGGGCTCCAGGCCCCTGCCTCCACAATAGTCTCAGGCCTGCTCTGTCCTCTGACCTCTGACCTCTGCCCTGGTTAGGCCGGTTCCTGGGCCCTGCTTATGGTGGGAGACCCCCCACCCCCACCCACACCAGGCCCTCACACTCCTTACCTCCCACTGGGGACACCTGGCTCCATGCTGGTGCCGCAGGGCTTGCCTGGCTCCTGCTTCAGCCCTCTGCTGGGTCCCTCTGCTGTTTGCCTCCTTGGCTCTTTTGCTTCCCTTCTTTCCTTTGACCCCTGTTGACTTCCCACTAGTGATCTTTCTCCCCTTCTGCCCTCCTTTCTCCATCTCTTTCTCTCCCCTTCCTGTATCTCATCCCTCTCTTATCATGTTACACACTCCATCATAGTTACTCAATGAACGAGGGAACAGAGGATGAATGACTGGTTGCCTGCCTCCCTCCCACGAGTATCTCCAGCAAAGAAAAGACTCCTCACCCAAGTCTGAAGACTATCCCCACCCTAAAGTGATCCTCACCAACACATCTTGGACTCAGGCCCCCAGAGCATGGGCTCCACATTCCTCCAACCTGTGCAATCCCTGCATGTGGGCTCCATCCTGGGCTCCGGCCCCACCCTGGGCCTGGGCCCCAGGGGCAGCATCATGCTTATCCAGAATAGGCCAGTGTGAGCAGCACTTCCCTTGGTCTGTAGGCTCGAAAGACCACCTCAGGGACCTGCTCAAACCTGACCAAGACCCCACCACAGGAAAAATGCCTGGGTCCACCAATTTCACCCCCACCGTATCTCCTGGAGGACCCTGTAGTTAACTCCCTCCTTGTGCCCACCTACAGAGGGGCGGGAAGGGAAGCCTGCCAGCCAGGGCTCAGGCCCCACCCCCAGGGCCCATAGTAAGGTTTTCTGTTCCAAATGCTGAGGTCTACTGAGTCCATGTGCATGGTGGCCCTGATCAGCAGGTGGGGCCCCGCCTACCTGCTCAAGATCTAGACCATGGGCCTAGGTTTAAGCAGATGGTGGTTCTGGGCTCAATTCCCTGTTCCGGGCCTTTCTTACTGTCCTCTCCAACTAGGCCCTTGTGGGGAGGGGGCATTGAAGGAGGCCCTTTCCTGTCAGATAGGGAAGATTTCCCAAGGATCTTCTCTCTCTTCCCTTTCTGGCCACCTCCTCCCTTTAGCCCTGCCCCGCCTACATCCACCCTAGGGTTATTAAGGATGATGTTTTTAAGTAGTTGTTCATAATCATCCCCTGTTGCTTTCATCTTTGACTTCAAAGCTTTTCCAGCCCTCAGCCTGCCTCCTGTCCAGATGGGAGAAGTTGAGGCAGAAGGGAACAGATACATGGAATTTGGTCAAGAAGTCAAGATGCAGGGGTTCAAGGTCTCCCCTCAATACCCAATTTTAGGCATTGCTGGGGCTGGGGAGGGAGAAGAGGCCCAAAGTCCTAAAGAGAAAGTTGTATTAGAGATGATAACCCAGTCCAGACCCCAATCTAGCTCCTCCCTTGGCCCCAGAGTTTAATTCCCATCTTAACCCAGTGCTCACCTCATGCTTTTCACCACCTTAGGTTAGGGCCCTAATACTACTTGCAACCCTAATCCCAATACCTCTCTCTCATCTCACTCTCATCCTGGCACAACCTTCAGAACCAACACTAACGCACAGCCCTACCCTAACACCTTTCCTGACTCCTGTTCCTACCAGACATGACCACTCCCTGAGCCAGCTCATGGCAGACACTCCCATTCTTTACCACAAGGGCTTGAGGCCCCAGGCCTGACCTAAGACAGCCAAGGGGCTGGGACTCGGACCTGGCCAGAATTTCTGGGGCAGGGAGGAAGGAAAAGACCAGACCTCAGTGGGATGGAAGGAGTTAGATGTGGCTTGGTTATTGCTCGGTGCTAGAGAGGAAACCTGAGCACGATCAAAGTGCCTAGGGCTAGGTAGGACAGAGAAAAGGACAGATGGACATCCACCCAAGGGTCTGAGAGTTCACCCCCTCTAAAGTGCATTGGCAACTGTCTTTAATAAAGCATTTGGCAATTCCCACAGAGCTGGGTGGGGCTCTATCTGTTGGAGGTAATTACTCTAACGAGCTTCCCTCTGGAGTAGCCTGCCCCAGCCAGACCCCAGCTCCTCCCTGCCCAGCCTGACTTGTGTGCTATGCATGCACACACTCCAGTTTGCTCTCCTCCCCCCTCCAAACCTGCCTAAAGCCCTCACCTAGCCAGATGTCAGAAGCCCTGGATTTCCTACCTCATTTCCTGTTTCCCCAGCCCTATGTTCCTGCCCTTCCCCACCCCCATACCCCATCCCTAGTCTACCCACAAAAGTGTGGTGCTTGAAAGCTCTGTCTCTGGAGCCAGACAGACAGGTTCAAGTCCCTCACTAGCTGTGTGACCTTGGTCAAGTAACTCCCCTTCTCAGAGCTGATTGTCATCATCGATAAGATGAGGACTCATTTATTTAGCATTTATTGAGCTCCCTTTGTAGCATGCCAGCAATTTCCATGGATTCGTTCAATCCTCTCAACAACTCCTTGAGGCAGTACTGTTGTTCTCTTTTGCCAAATGAGCTAGTCACCCAGCTCCTGAGCATTGGAGCCAACCTCAGGGAGATCATGTAGGTCCAGTGCCTGGCATATAGTAAGCCCTCAAAGAGTGGCCACTATTATTATTCCCAGAGAAGGGAAGAAGGGACTGAGGCTTGGGCCACCTGAAACGCGAGCCCTGCTTCTGCCCACTCTGCCCATGGGCTGCCATCAGTCCCTCTCCCCATCTCATAGCGCAGTAGACCCAAAAATCGGGAAGGAGACAGATGAATCTCTAGTTGCCCACTTTGCCTCCTTGCCTCACTCCATCCTCATTTCAGCCCTTGCTCCCACTTCCCTCTCCTGCCTCCTTCCCTCCAGGGCTCCTGTCAGTGGAAAAGATGAGTTGCTGGCCATAGGGAACTGAATCACTGCTGTTTGTTTTCCTCCAACCCCAGGAAGTGCAGGGATCTTGCTCTCCCCCTTTCTCTCCTTGAACAAGATGGAAGCCTGTGCTTGGATCTCCAAGTGAGACTAGAGTCCTCCGGGGGTTATGTAGCTGCCAAAGAATTTGCTACAGAGTGCGACAGATCTTGGTTTAAATCCCAGCCCTGATACTTACAGGCTATGTAACATCAGCCAAGGTTTTTAAGTTCTCTGAGCCTCAGTTTCCTCATATGTCAAATGGGGAAAATAGTATCAGCTACCTCCAGAGAATCATAGCTGCCCCAGAGATTAAATGTGATAATACTCAGAACGCATTGCCTGGCACATAGTGGCTCCACATTACCTTTTTTTTTTTCTACTGCCTTTTCCAGAACTCATCTCTGTCTTCTGAGATGGGTGTTTGAGTGGTGGGGGCTTCAGAGAGTCTAGAGTTGGGGAGAGGGTCAAGGAGCTGAGCTGCTCTGGGGCAGGGCAGTGCCAGCCCCAAACCAGCTGCTAGGGGTGGGTGCTGGGTGCCTGGGACTCTGGGAGCACTCAGGTTTCTCTCACCATTCCTGATGCTGCCTGGGGCTCGTTAAGGCTGCCCTGGTCTGGTGGGCCAGGCTTGGGGCGGGGGGAGGGGTGTGCACACAGAGGGGAACAGCCCTGAGGGGACAGACCAGGAAGGGGAGGTAGTCAAACTGCCCCTCAGATGTCTGTCTGTCACTTCTCTCTCCCATTCTTGCTCTCCCTGCTCTCCTTCAGTCTTTCTACCCTGGTCTCTAGCTCTGTGTCCAGTTTTTCAGCAGAGTCTCTTTTTTTCTCTCTCATTTCACTCTCCTCTCTCTGTTGTTCACTATCCTTTTCTCTCTCAGTGTCTGTCTTTTTTCTCAATCACTTACTCCTGCTTCTGTCACTCTTTCCCATTCTCTCTCATTTGCTTTTGTCTGTCTATCTGTCTGTCTCTTTCTCCTCTCCCCCTGTCCCATCCCAACTCTGAGGTGGCAGAGGAGGGAATACACACAGGGTTTACAGACCCCCAGCTGCCCAAGGGCCAAAGCCAAGCATCCTGCCATTTCCTTCAACCCTTAGCCATCTAGAGCCCAAGCTCCCAGCAGCCTTGACCTCAGGTACCCTGGCCACCCACCCTGGCAGAAGAGACAGACCCCTCCAGACCTTTCTGGACCAGCTCCCTGCCCCCAGCTGTGCCTGAGCCCTCCCCACCCCCTCCCTCTCGCCTCTGATTCCCTAATCCCTGCTCCCCCGCCCTCCCCTCTGCCCCACTTTTCCAGGACTCTGATTGGCTGATTCTACTGACTGGACTGGGGGGGAGGGGGCTGGCAAGGGAGGGGGCAGGGGGCAGAACCAAGGGAAGGGGACGCTGTCAGGCCCAGGCCCCTGGGGGGCCAGGGCCAGGCCACTGCCTGGGGGCAGCAGGCACCAGAAACTGAAGGTATGCAAAGGGGCAAGTCTCTATGGAGGGAGCAGGAAAGGATCCCGGGGTACCCTCTGCCCCAGTAAGGTCAAGGGAGGACGGGGCCAAGCTTGCAGGCTCCTAGCTTTGCCTTTGTTCCTGGGAACCCCTGTTGTTGGCAGGGGGTTGCTAGAGCAGTGAAGGGCAGACAGAATTCCCTGACTGGTGGACAGCTAGGTTGCAGAAGGGAGCTGGGCTAGCGGAAGCCCAGAGAGGTCCTGAGGGCCTTTGGCCCACCCCCTTTGGAGACTGGCAAGGTTCCTCCCATGGCTCTGGAGGGAGGAGAAAAAGGTTTCAGGGGTGGGTGGGTGGTGGAGTGGCTAGCCTGGACTTTCATTTCCCCCTTGGGGTCAGACCCAGGCATTCCCCTCCCAGAGGCCAGGGTGGCTGTTCCTCCTGCCGAGCTGGAGCTGAACACTCCCAGTGAGACAAAGGGGCACGGGGGAAGACAGGAAGGTTGGGGAAAAGGGGCTCTGAGAATAGACCCAGGCAGTCCACCTCCCAGAGCAAATGCCACTCACCTATTACCTACCCCCAGAGATGTCAACAATTAACTAGGATTTATGACTGGGACAAATCATAGCTCTTCAGGCAGCCTGACTCAGTAGCCCTCCTCCAAATCTAGGCCTCAATATTCCCCTCTGGGCAGTGGGATGAATCACCCACCTGACTCTCTTCTCCCTGGGGTGAGACCTAGCCTTTGGGATTCCTTGGGGGAAAACAAAACCAGAAGAAGGGAGTGACCAGAGCCATGGGGTTCTCGAGTCCTGCTGATCCAGCAGAGAAGGTCTGTGCTCTTCCTGGGTCTGTAAAATGCCTAAAGGTCTTGGGGGAGGGAGGCTGGAGAAGGGGGAAGTGAAAAACACCCAGAAGGAAAGGACTGGTCTGCACCCTCCCCTGGGCCCACAGGGCACTGTGCTCCATTGCTCCGGAGACAGCAAGCAGGGGAAGTGTGTGTGTACCACGGGGGTCACACTTCTGAGTGTGGGGGCCCCAGCTGGGGAGTGGGACGACAGGTTTGGGTGGGGCTCCCAAGCTTCAATCTTCCTGCCCCACGTAATGTTTTCTCTGCCCTTCAGGCAGCCTGAGCCGGGCAGGGCCCCTCCCTCTGCTTCGGCAGCCCCCCATCATGCAGCCCCCACTGGACCTCAAGCAGATCCTGCCCTTCCCACTGGAGCCGGCCCCCACCCTGGGCCTCTTCAGCAACTACAACACTGTGAGTAGCAGCCGGCCTACCTGCCCTACCCTCCTGAGACCCTGGCTCCTTCTTTCCCTCCGACTCACCCTTGCCCTCTTCTCTTGTATCTAATTCCTTCTCTCCTCTTAGGACCCCATCTCCCTGACTTCTAGCTGGTTATGAGCATTGTTGGCTATCTGGTAGACTATTAACAACAATAACAACAATAACTAATATCTGCTGAGGTCTCACTATCTATGAGCCAGACCCTGTGCTACATGTTTTATATGAATCCTCTCATTGAGCCCACCATCTAGAGAAGAAATGAGACCTAGAGTGGTGACTGTGACTACAGGGAGGTGGGAGGGGGGACAGGTGCTGAATCCAGAAGGAGGGAATAAGCAGGGCCACAAGCCTGCCTGTTTGTAAATTCTAGCTCTCTGGAACCCACACCTGGGTGGGTAAGGTCAATGGGGTAGGGCTTAGAGGGCTAGCAAATTTGACTAAATTTAATACAGCATGAAATAGGGAGCCATTATGCATTCCTGAGCAGGAAAGTGACTTGGTAAGAGCAGTGTTTGAGGAAGGTGGGTGGGACAGCTGGATGAAAGGAAGCAGAGCCTAGAGGAGGCTATCCCACCAAGTCGGGCCTGCAGGGAAGCCTGGAAGTCCAGACTTGGCCAGTGGTAGGGGCAGTGTGAGTGTATAGGAAGGCGGAGAGGCAAGGTGTTTCTAAGGAAGTATTCATAGGCCATGGTGACCAACTGGTATTTGGGGGTGGGGGAGAAGAGAGAGGATGAATAAAGGCTAACTCCAGGATTCAAACCTCTGTGACTGGAAGAAGTCACCTTGACGGGGGCAGGGGTTTGGAGGAGGAAGCTGGTCTGGGGTGAGGCTACTGAGCTCACTTTAGGACATGGTGAGTTGGTATACGAGTGGGACATTGAGCCAGAAATGTCCAGCAGACAGTTGGAATTTGGGTCCTGGAGAGTGGGCTCGAGCTAAAGGTTTGGGGGAAGTCAGCTTTATTCAGCTCCAATAACCCACCATCAAATCATATTCAGCTACAAACATGGACTGCGCATCAACTACGCGCCGGGCGCTGCACTAGGTGTTTCTATACCTGATCTCACTGCATCTTCACCACAACCCAACAAAGAGGACAGTATTATTCCTGTTTCACATATGGCAAGGCAGAAACTAAAGCTCAGAAGGGTTTAGTAATTTACCTCAGTTGACACAGTATGTGCTGAAGGTATGATTCAACCCTATAGGGAAGCTGTTGTTGTTGTTGTTGTTGTTGTTGTTGTTGTTTAAGATTTTATTTATTTGTGAGAGAGAGAATGAGAGACAGAGAACATGAGAGGGAGGAGGGTCAGAGGGAGAAGCAGGTTCCCTGCCGAGCAGGGAGCCCGATATGGGACTCGATCCCAGGACTCCAGGATCATGACCTGAGCCAAAGGCAGTCGCTTAACCAACTGAGCCACCCAGGCGCCCGGGAAGCTGTTGTTTTATCCCTGTTCTACAGATGAGAAAATTGAGTACTGGCTATAAGCAAGGCACTGTTCTAGATATAATGGAGACGTGAGGGTAAACATGATAAGGTCCAATCTTGGAAGACCTGATATACAGGGGAGAAATATCAACATCTATGCAGCAATCTATAACACAAAACAGAGCAAGAGTTATAAAGATTGTGACAGAGAAACTGACAATGGTTCAAGTGAACAAAAAAAATTTTTTGAGCAGCTACCATGTGCTGGGCACTGTACCAGGCGTCAGGGATACGGGATTCAGTCTGTGCCCTTGGGGAGCCCACGCTTAGTAGGAAAGATAACAAGTTAGAGAGGTTAAGTGACTTGCCCAAGGTCACAAAGCTAGTCAATTCACATGGATAGTTCAGGCTTTCTGACTCCCACAGGGTTCATGGCTCCACTGCCTCTAGCAGGGACTAGCTATTTAAAGCCATGAGTGCTGATAAGCTTGGAGAGTGCAGCAGAGTGTTGAGCAGCACCAACTTTGACTGGCAGGATTCGAATTGACATTCCAAAAGTACTGGCTGTGTGACCTCAGGCAAATTGCTTCACTTCTCTGAACCTGAATTTTACCAGCTGTAAAAGAAGATAGTAATAGTACCAACACACAAGGCTGTTGTGAGAATTGTAGCATAATCATAATGCCTAGCCAAAGTAAGTGTTCAGTGTTAGCTGCTATGATTATTATGTTATTGCTCTTATTTTTATTTAAGAGAGGATCAGAGAGAGAAGGGTAGTATGGCCAAGGCCTCAGCCTTTTGGAATAAGCAGAATTAGGCAGCAGGAACAGGAGGAGGCGCCAGCAAAGGAAATGGAGGAGCCACTGGAGGGGGTGGGGATGCAACCTGGTTCCTGTAGAGTTAGAGAAGCCAAGGGAGAGAGTGTCGCGGGCTGCACCAATAGTGTCAAATTCTGCAGGGAAATGAGGACTGCAGAAAAGCTGCAGACAGGCCTTTGGCAGTAACTGTGCAGCAGTTAAGTACATGGCTTTAGAGTCAGGCTGCCCAGGTTTAAAATTCAAATCCCAGTTCAGCCACTTACTAGCTTATGACCTTGGGCAAATTATTTAACCTCTCTAAACCTCAGTTCCCTCATCTATAAAATGAAGATAATAATAGTACTTATTTTGAATAGTGGTTGTGAAGATTAAATTAGATAATCCATGCAAAGAGCTCAGTACTGAGGGTGGCACATTCCAAGGGCTCAGTCAACATTAGGTGGTGGTGGTGGTTTTATTATTCATCGCAGAGTCTCCCCTTCCCTGGACTAAGACCTCCAGATCTCTTTCCTACTGGGGCAGTTCCTACCTCTTAGACCCCTTGCCACATTATGCTTTCCTCTGCCCTTGGACATCCCTCATTGTCTCCCAAAGACAACCTCTACCTCCAGTCCCCTGCTTCACTCATCTCTCTGTCCTAGGTGGAATGAGAGAGGGTGAGATCCAGAGATGAGAGAGCGGGAAACCTAAGACCTGTCCAGAGAGGATGAGAAGGTGTCGGGGGGCAGTGGGTTGCTCTGCCCTCCTGCCCCTCAGCCTCAGTGCTGCCCCTACTTGACCGCCAGAGGGCAGCAAGTGCACGAAACATAAGCTCTTTGGGAACCTGGTTGTCCAGCAGGTGGCGGGCGAGGGGAGGAGGTGGGAAGAGGTTAGGGACGATGTCCCCAATCTGAGGTCGCTTATGCTCTGGGCGCCCCCGAGCTCCACCGTTCAGAGGAGTCGCTGAGAGAGCAGTGCCTGACACCTAGGTGCCTGGGCTCGATTTCCCCTCCCTAGTAGGGGAAGTGACATGTAAAAAGGGCAAAGGGGTCGTGTGCAGAGGGAAGAGGAGAAGGGTCGTCTGGGGACCTGGAAGAGAGGCTGTGAGCAAAGGAGCGAGGGCCAGGGCGGAGGGGATGGAAGAAAGGAGAAACGTCCGAGCTAGAGAAACAGAGTCGTCCATAGGATTGGTGGACACACTGGACCCAGCAAGGGTCCTCAGTGGAGGAAGCCGAGGTCACTTGGTCAACACCCGGTCGCCGGGCCGAGCGACCCCTCGCCAGGACAAGGTATACCCTGCAACGAGTATCTGGATACGGACTCCCCTCCTCTTTTCACCCTAGCCCCGCTTCATCTCTCGCTGGCTCCCTAGCCCCGCCCCCGTCTGCGGCCCGCCCTCGGCCCCGCCTCCGGGGCGGGCTCCAGTCCCGGCCGGCACCGCCTCCCCTTCTCGGGCCGGCCCGGCCGCACAGTCCGAGCCACCCGGGCAACGAGCGCCGCGTCCCCGGCCTGCCCGGCCCGGCCAGGCTCGGGTGCCCCGCCCGGGTCCGCCGCCCCGGGCCATGGAGTCGCGGCCCCCGGGGTCCCGCAGGGTAAGCCACCCGGCCCCTCCTCTCTCCCTGGCTCCCGCCGCTGCCGCAGCGCCCCCCCACCCCATCCCCGCCCGCCTCTGGCGGGCGGGCTACCTCTCCTTTCGCTTGGTCCTCGGGTTATCTGGCCCATCCCCCATAACAGGCGCGGTCCCAACCAATCTCTGGATCCCAGCTGGCACCCCCAGACTACTGCCACCACACTGGATACCCCCACCTCTGCTTCTCAGATCCTTGGAGTCCCCCAGATCTTCAGACTTCCCATCAGGACTTACATGTACCCTCAGATTACCACCCCGCTTAGATCCCTCATCCCATCCCGGCATCTCTCCCCTTCCCAGCATCCCTCCCCCACCAGCTTCCACCTGCTCTTTAGATACCGCTAGCTCGCTCTCTTTCCTATTTCAGTTCTTCCTGTCCCTCAGGTCTTCCCATCCCTGAGATTCCACCCTCCTTCCCTTTTCACCTTTATGTGGGGGGGGGGGGGAGGGGGAAGTGGGGTGGCCAAACAAGGGGCAGCGGTTTCCATCAGATAAAGGGCAATGGAAGGAAATATAATCATGCCCCCCCCGCGTGTTCCTGATCTGGTTTCCTCCCTTCCCTCCCCCTTGCCCTTCCTGATTCATTTTGCCCCAGCTTCAGGGAGCGATTCCCCTTCATGTCTGCTGTTGGAGGGCAGGTGGGAGAGGAATGTTTTGTGGACCTTTCCAGGCAGTGTCTAGGCCAAAATCCCAGGGAAGGGGCTCTGGAGTGGAATGGACTGTGGGAGATGTTGGCCTCCACCCCTCCCCAGAGAGCCCTCATCTAGGTCACTAGGGCCTCTTGACCTTGGCCTGGAGCGGCACTTCAGTGGCTCACATTCCACCTGCGCAGGGATTGGGCCCAGGAGCCTTCACCTTCAGCCTGGTGTCTCCTCAGTTCCTGGAGGAGGGGGTGGGAAGGACCCACCGCCCCAGGTTGGTGCCCTCTTCCCGGTGCCCCCCACCCCTAGTCGGTGTTTATGGACTTAAACCTGAGGAGGGGTGTGTACAAGAGAAAAGGCTCTCACCCCAGAGGAGGGACACAAGTGGGGCAGGGACCATTCTCCTGGGATGGATGTTGGGATGGTCAGCCCATAGGTCGTCCTCAGGGCACTCTGGGGAGCAGGCTGGGACAGAGACAGAACTGGGGTCTCTGCTGTCCCCTCTCCATCCCACTCCTCTCTCCCTACTGCTGTCATCGACTTAGGTTTCCTGGCCCAGATTGGGTTTCTGTTTGGGCTGAATTCCATTCCCCACCCAGCATGTGAGGAAGCCCAGGGGCTGAGGAGAACCCTGGGGCAGGGGGCGGCGGGTTGTCGCTGGATAGGGAGGACTGACGCCTAGAGACTGGGAGCTGAGAGCAGTCGTCTGTCTCCCCTTTCTGATTAAAGCCTGTCTCCAACTTGGTCTGTCTTTCTTTCTGCCAAACACATCATACATTCACACAGATAAACACACAGCTGAAGATTACACAACCTGACCATTCATGGCGTTGGCAAAGCCCCCAACACAGAAATGTTGATACATAAATGATGTACACACAGCACATGACACTCCTTCACACTCCACCCATGCACAGATTGATCACAGCCTGCCGAGACACACAGTCACACCCATTCTTCCCTTGTTTGGCTTTTCTTTGAATAGGACCTGGGTTTCCAGGAGGTGAAAAGTGAGCTACTGAAAGGGGCTGCTTCCAGCCAAGGACAGACCAAGTGATGGGACACTTGTCAGTCAGACCAGTCATCTGAACTTGGTCATGACTCCTGCCTCTACTACTATCAAATGAGGCAGCCCATTTCACAGGGATCTAAAGCCCCCTTCCTGACATTACCCCCAACCAGCCAGTGAGACTACTGGGGAGAGCGAGGATATGTGGACTTTGCAGATTCCAACCACCTTCTTCCCCTTGCTTCATGTTCCTGTCTCTCACTGATGTCTTACTGGGAACCATGAAGACCTGGGCACAGGAAAGGGACTCAGCTAAGGAGCTAAGGAACCCCAAGTCCCAGCAACCATTTTTTACTTGATCCTTCCACCTAGAAGACAAGGCTTCAACTTGAATTTGGTTCCGTCCTTATGAGAGGTCCCAGCCATCACTCAGTCCCCCTCAGCCTCGGCTACATTCCAGTCTTGCCTCTCCCTGGCCGCCTCCTGAGAGGAGGACTGTGCAGGGAGGCAGTTTTCATGCCTCTAGGCCCCTGACTTCATCCCCTGATAGCTAAAGGCCTCAGAGAGAAACTCCCATCGTCTCCCCTCCTCATATGAACTCTTGGCAGGAGACTGCAAAGACATCTGCTGACCCAGGGTGGGGGCAGATACTGTTCCTAATCACCAGCCCCACAGCCCTGCCCCAGAGAAAGAGTTCAGATCTCTCGGCTGCCTCAGGCCAACCCAGCTTCTTAGTTTCTCCCCACTAATTCCCCTTGATTCACTACAGCCACATACTCTCTCCTGAGTTCTATTACTACCTTTTAGACCTGCTGCCTTAAAGAGGTAGTCTAGGGAGTGTGTTAGGGCAACCCGGGGCCCAATGGGAAGCTGGGAATATCTGTCTCCTGGGACCAGAAGCTTGGCTTGGTAGACATCTTGACCCAGAGTGGGGCCAAAAGAGTTCAAAGGCCTCAGCTGAAGGCCCTAGGATCTGGGGTGCTTTGGGACTTCCCATCAGTGGGCTTCTGGTGGACTGGCCTAACTGTAGGTCAAAAAGAGAGATGGATCATCATGGTGTGATGAACTGAGACAGCAGTTCATGTGCAAGTACCAGCTCTGCTATTAACTCATCGTGTGACCTTGGGCAAACCACTTCTACTTTCTGTCAGATGGGAGCATGGGGCCAGTTGATCCCTCAGGTCCCTTCAAGTGCTGTGAAGATTGGGCTGGGAGGGAATCAGGGGACTGAGGCTCAGAGCCCTCAAGCAAACTGAGGGATAGAGAGGAGGTTCTGGGGATTTGGGTTCAACCCAGCTGCTACCAATGTGGGGGATGATGGACATGAGCTTGTGCTGGGGTTCCTGGCTCACCCCAGCCTGCCTCCATAGATGGACCCTGTGCAGAAGGCTGTACTCTCCCACACTTTCGGGGGACCCTTGCTCAAGACCAAGCGGCCCATCATTTCCTGTAATGTCTGTCAGATCCGCTTCAATTCTCAGGTAAGAAGCCTAACTGCTCAAGTGATTGGGGCAGCAATAGCCGGGGGATCTCAGGGGAGGGCAGAGGCTGGGAGCTCTGGTGGGGGGCAAAGATTAAGGGGATATCGGAAAGAGCAAAGAATGGGGATGCTGCAGGAGGGGCAGGGGCGGATGGAAGGCACTTGAGAGGGAAGAGCTGTATATTTCAACATGAAGTAGGCCAGTCCTCTATGGTTGACCCCTCCCTCCCTTGGCAACGGAGGCCTCCCTGGTTCAGAACTTCTTAGAACACAGATAGCCATCATGTCTGGGTGGGAGAGTGGCCTCTGGCCCCACTAGTCCTTGGGCACTGGGCTGAGTTAGGTCATTGACTCCCCTGCAGAGCCTGTGCCCTCCATGGCCTCTGCTAAACTCCTCCCCTGGCCCACCCAGTTCACTCTAACCTCCTGGCTTCCTCCCTGTCTACCCTTTCCCATGGGACTTTCCCATGGAGAGAAGCCACCCCAAACGCAGAACCTAGGTGTCAGGCCTCCCAGCTGTCCTCCCTCTGTGGCTCCCCTGGGACTTCTGTGTGGGTCTAGAGGGGACTTTGTGGGGTGCAAGTTCTGAGACTTTTGGAGAAAAACAGCATAGCCTCATTTTGCTGAGTAGGGGGAAATAAAGCATGTTCTGTTTCTCTACCCAGTCCACACACACACACACACACATACACACACACACACACCATGATGCCAGGCTCCACACACCACTGCCCCACCCCTGGGCTGTCAGTCTTCTTCTCCTGCCCATCCACACTTTTTATTTCTACTCTATCCCTGTCTGGGTGGCCTTGTGGCTCCAGGATTGTATGTTCTTAGCAGGAGGTGCACATGGGAGTGGGGGTAGAGCCAGGACCAACCCCGCTTTAGGTCTTTCCTTTACCTTAATCCCAGGCATCCCCTCTCCCAACCCTGGCTCCACTCACTGGTGGAGGGTAGAGGACTAGAGGGGCAGGGGGCCAATAGTAGACAGCCCTCCCCTCTTTTGCCCTCCCCTTCCCTCCCCCACCAAGTGGCTCTGTTTTGACAGCTGTCTCTGCTGCTGTCTCTATCTCCAGAGCTGGGCTTGGGGCCAGGGTCCTCTAGGGTGTCCACAGAGGCTTCAGGAAAAATGAGGACCAGGGGTGAGTAGTCAGGATAGAGCCCAGACCTCAGAGCTCTTTGGAACTCCCAGCCTGAGTGTAGAAGGAGTGAAGGCTGGATCCCAGGGCCAGGAGACATAGGCAAAGAAGGCCAGGGGGCCAAGAGATTGCTGGCTGGATGAATTGCTAGGGCCCTCCCATTTAGGATTCTATTATAGGTTGGGGTAACCCTCCCTCACCCAGAACTAGGTGAGAAGCCTGAGTCAGCAGCCAGGCCCTGCGTGTGGTGGTAGGGGGCCGCCTGGGCTAGGTGAGGATCCAGGTTTCCATCTACTCAAGCTTGAGAAGCTAGTCTGAACCCCAGGAATAACCAGCACTCCTTGGCATGGGGCTTTACATCTCACTGGTACAGTGAGAGATTCACTGCAGCCTGCTGAGACCACCCCAGGACCTGAAGGAGCTCTGTGGGGAGAATGGTCAGATGAAAGGTGATCTCAGATTCCATTTTCTTCCTTCATCCCTAAAGAGCCAGGCTGAGGCACACTACAAGGGTAATCGCCACGCCCGAAGAGTCAAAGGCATCGAGGCTGCCAAGACCCGAGGCAGGGAGCCTGGCGTCCGGGAACCTGGAGACCCAGCTCCCCCAGGCAGCACCCCCCAAAATGGGGATGGTGTGGCCCCCCGTCCAGGTGTGTCTGAATCCCACCCCCCCCCCCCGCCACATTGTTCAACTGATCTTGTCTCCTCTGTTCTTTCCCCACTTCTTAGAAATCTCCTCTGCTTTCATCTCTCTCTTCCTCAGCCCCTACCCCACCCTGACCCAAGGTGAATCCTGGAGCCAAGCACAGTGATACAAAATTCCCATCCTGTCACCCCCACTCCCACCCCAGCTCCTCTTGACAGAGTACCCACTGTCTGTCCTCCCCACTGCCCAGTGACTCAGAGAGGGGCTAGGGTGAGGCCACCTGGCAAACTTCCTCAAGAAAAAAGGAACCATCAAATCCAGGGAGAGCCTCCTTCATCTTGGGGAGAGGGGTAGGGAGGGAATCAGGACACCTCAGGGCCTGCCCACTGGGGTTCCCCTGAGGGAGGACTGAGAGCTCAGGAAACTCAAGCAACTCCCTGGGTGATCTTGGTTGATCTTTTGACCTCACTGGGCCAGAGTTTTCTTTCCTGGGAGTGAGACTTAAGATGTTTGAGGTCTTTTCCAGGTTCACAAAAAGCAGCTCTGAGATTCTTTCTCCCTCATGGCTGGTGGCCATCTTCAATCATACTCCCAAGAAATTGGAAGGAAGGAATATCAAGAAAGGAAGATATGAGCCACCCCCATCCTGGGATTACCACATCAGATAGCAGTCATGACCAACTCCAGAGAGACTGAATATCCCCATTTCCTCTTATCCTTGCCTGTCCTTTCTGTTCCACCCCAAGTAGAATGAGAACCAGGCATCTGCATCACCAGCTTGGGAACCAGGACCCCACTCTCAACACACACACACCCCTCAGGGAGGCACAGATAGGGCGGGCAGGTGAGCTGAGTTATAATTATGCTCTGGCTGCTTCTTAGCCTGATACCGTTTTTTAACTTGGCAACATCTCTGTAAAATGGGGATGATGATGATGGTGGTGGTGGTAGCTAGTATTTCTTGAATATCACTGTTCTAGGTGCTTTATGTATATCTCCTCATTTAATTAGTTCCAATGGTTTATCTCTAAGGAGATCATGATACCTGCCCTACTTTTATAAATCATGAAGCCCTGTCCAGATTGAGAGGTGAGTGTGCTATCTGGATTGAAATGGAGGTAATGGATGACAAAAATGAGCGAGAGAAATAAAGGGAAAGATCCCAAAATGGACAAGCAGATGCACACCCTCAGGGGTCAGGAGGTCCCTTCTTACCAATGCCCCACCCCCACTGCCAGCCTCCCCATGACCCGGAAACTGGATCGGCCTCTGGAGCAAGAATGGGAGTGCTAGAGTTTCCCCTGTACAGAGGCCAGAACCCAGCGCTGAGGCCTGGGGCCTGTGCATCTTTAATCAAGCCATGAATTATAGAGCAGCCTGCATCCCTGTTCCCTCTCCGGTTCTGCTGTTTCTGTTTCCCTTCTGCCATGTCTGTAACTGTTTCTCCCGACCTCTCCTCGTGCTGCCTCTTCCCCTTCCTAAAGCTCTTTGGCATGCCTCCCTGGAGACTGGGCAGGACTCTGGGAAGGGGCTGGCCAGGCAGGAAGCCCAGGCTGGCTGGTAGGCCTTTGAGGGGTGAATCCTTGTTCCATGCCTCTCCCCATGGCTAGGCTGGGTGCCAGCTTCACCCTGAAGAGGAGGCTATTGGGGCTGGACCCCTCAACTATTCCCAGCTTCTGGAGAATGAGCCAGGCATTGGAGCCTCACACCCAGACTACAGCAGCTAGACCACATCTGGCTCTGGCCCAGGGCATGAGAGCATGCATGTTGTCACAGGGTGGGGACTCCTGGGCCCTTGCCCTCCAGGAAATGGGGGTGGGTTTCCTCCACATAAAGAATCTTCTCCAAAAACCATCTGGGGTGACCCCTATATTTCTCCCCTAACAACAGTTTCCATGGAGAATGGACTGGGTCCAGCTCCAGGATCCCCAGAGAAACAGCCTGGCTCCCCATCCCCTCCCAGCATTCCGGAGACTGGTCAGGGTACAACCAAGGTTGAAGGGGGAACTCCAGCCCCAGCTTCCCTGCCTGGGGGCAGCAAGGAAGAGGAGGAAAAGGCCAAGCGGCTGCTCTACTGTGCTCTGTGCAAGGTGGCAGTGAACTCCCTGTCCCAGCTTGAGGCTCATAACAAAGGTATGGACTCTCCTACCCCCACCCCTACCCCTGTCCTCAGCCCACTCCTGCTCCCTACCTCCTAATTCCCCTGGTTTCCAACACGCTGGACGGTCCAGGACTTATCAGCCTATCTCCCTCCCAAATCATCTCCCCCCTTCCTTAGCCACTTACTTCCTCAGTTTCCCCTCCACCTAACTTCTTCACCTGTGACTCTCCCCAGACCCACCTTGTGTCTGGGGGCATCCCAAGGGGCTTGGAAAACCCCCACACTTGATGCTCCCCCATATTTTAATTGAGAGTGTATTTGTCACCTACTGGGCCTGGAAAATTTTTCCTCCACCCCTTACCTCTGCCCTCTCTGGGCTCCAGGTACTAAGCACAAGACAATTCTGGAGGCCCGAAGTGGGCTGGGCCCCATCAAAGCTTACCCTCGTCTGGGGCCTCCCACTCCTGGGGAACCAGAGGCCCCTGCCCAGGACCGAACCTTCCACTGTGAGATCTGCAATGTCAAGGTCAACTCGGAGGTCCAACTGAAACAGGTGGGTCCAAGGCCTTTCCCAGGAACTCTAGGGAGCTCTACTCACTAAGTGGGGAAGAGAACAGGGAGCTTGGGTGAGGGCGCTTCTTTCAGGGTCTGTCCTTGGTGCCACAGAAAGGGCGGAGCCAGGTGGTTGGGGTGTGCCTACCGGCTTGTCGGTTGCCCCTTTCCCCGTGGCTCACAGCCCCCTATCCACTCGCCCCCACAGCACATTTCCAGCCGGCGGCACCGAGACGGCGTGGCCGGGAAGCCCAACCCGCTACTGAGCCGTCACAAGAAGCCTAGGGGCTCCGGGGAGCTAGCGGTGAGGCCCGGGCGCTGGAGAATTCGGCCACGGGGAGACCGGAACTGGGAGGGGGAGGGGACGCGGGCTGGCCCGGGGAGAGGTGGGGTTTGTGGGCCGCAGAATGACTTCTCTCTTTCCCCGCCCCTCTCCCCCCCGCAGGGCACGCTGACTTTCTCCAAGGAGCTGCCCAAGTCCCTGGCCGGTGGCCTGCTCCCCAGCCCCCTGGCGGTGGCTGCGGTGATGGCAGCGGCAGCAGGCTCCCCGCTGTCCCTGCGCCCGGCCCCAGCCGCACCTCTTCTCCAGGGACCGCCCATCACCCACCCTTTGCTCCACCCGGCCCCCGGGCCCATCCGAACTGCGCACGGACCCATCCTTTTCTCCCCCTACTGACCTGAACCCCAAACCCCCTCCCATTCAACCCCCCCCTCCACCTCCAGCCGGGACCCAGGCCTCCAGGCTCCAAGCCTGCCCCTACTCCCGGCACTCCCTGAATGATCTCTCTCCTTCCCCCCCACCCCGAGGTACGGGGTTCCAGGAAAGGGGAGGGGTAGCGGGGGAGGGGGGCTTCAGAAGGGGGGGAACACCCCAGATCTCAGGGAACCCCGCCCCCTGCCCTTCCCTCTCCCCTAGAAAAGGGGGGGCCGTCTCACCCCCGAGCCCCCTTGGAGACACCCCCCCTCCCAAAAGCCATGTCCATTCAGCCCTTCCCCCCCAAACCTAGCACAAAACGGGGTTCACAAGCCATGGTCGGAGTCCGGGGGGCAGAAATGGATTTTCTTGGCAATAAGCGGACTCTGGGACTCCGGCCCCCTGTCTCCAAACTGAAGCGCTTCCGTGAACACCCCCGTCCTCCGCAGGGGGAGGGGAGCAGGCGGGATCCTGGGTCCCTCAAAAGCACTTTGGTTTTACCGCCTGCAACCTCACTGTGCCCGCCCCGCACCATGCCCCAGCCCCAGGTCTAGCTGGGCCCATCGCAGGGGGCAGCACTTGGGGGCATCTCTGGCACTTGGGTGGGACCAAGTAGATGCCCCTACAGACCCTTCCCTCACTTTCTTCCTCCCCAGTCTGGATTCCATTCTTTTCACCAGCACCCATCGCCCAAGGGGTACCGAGGGGGGCAAGGGGTGTCCAGTTCAAGCCCACCCCCGCCTCGCCTTCCGCAAAACTGTGAGCAAAAAGCAATAGAAGCCTCGCCCCCGCCCCTCCCCTTTCCGCAGGATTCGCTGAGTCTGTAGCCTCCCCCGTCCCAGCTCCTAGACCTCATGGCTGTCCCTCCCACCAAACACCTCGACTGCACAACTCGGGCGGGGGCGTGACCTCCCTCCCTCCTCTGTGGTTTCCGTATCGTCAGCCCTTACAGCAGCCGACCGGGAGGGGGACGGGCCCCCACTGGCCTTCCCGTCCCCATCAACTCTCAATGCTTGACGATGTAGCAACCCCGGCCCCCCACCCACGTCTTCCCTTTTCCCTCTCCCTGACAATAAAGTCTGGATTCGTTGCCCTCTGTCCCCCAGACTCAGACTCTCAATCTTGGCTCCCTGATATGGGAGCTCTTCCAACGCGAGATGGATCTGTATGGTGAGGGGGACCGGCACACGGGAAAGGGGGCCAGGAGGAGGGGGACGGAAAGATCTCAGGCTTGTAGAAAGCGAGCAGACGCTCCCAATCCCACTCACCCCCACTCCCGCCCGCCCAAATGTAAACTTGGCCCTGGGGAACCATTTCTGAGTCCAGGTCTCGGATTGTAGACGCAGCTGTTGAGAATTCTCCACAACTCCACCAGGCGGCGCCAACGACATGGAAAAGGAGTCCCCCTAAGTGTGTGTCACGATTCTGGGAAACAGGTCTAGATCCAGTCTCAGACAAAGGAAAGAATCCAGGCTTTTGTGCCTCTCTCTGGTGGGAAACCCACGCCAGCAACACGCAAGGAATGGAGAGAAGTCGGGGCAGGGACTAGGAATCTCAACTCCAGGCACTGCTGGGCCTCATATAAATAGTGACCTTGAGTTAGTCCTTCCCCTCTGGACCTCAGTTTCTCCGTATGCAAAATGAGCAGATTTGGGTCTCTTAAAAGTTCACTGAGACTTAATGTTCCAAGACTAAAGAACTGGGACTGTGCCATTTACAGATATGCAGATACACTAGAATACCTTCTCTTCTGGTCCCCTAAATGGTCTGTGGGACAGAGAAGCACACTCTGTTCAGCTGCCTCCCACATGATGTGGGGGAAGGCACTCCTCATTATCTCCAGAATTCAGTTCAACCACACACTCCCAAGAGCAGTATTGACTCTGTGACCCCGTCCCTCTAGCCCTGCTGAGTGGCAAGAAAGTAAAACAAAAAAGGCCAGACCAGAACCCAGCATCTCCCCGTGTCCCCCTGAATTGTATCCGCTTTGCTCACTTCCCCCTCTCCACCCACTTCACAGTTTTTCAGAGGAAAGGGGGAGGGAAGGTGAGATGATGATTGTTAAAGAGGAAGGAGAGGGAAATAGAGGCCTCCTGGGTTTGTCAATTATGAATTTGGGGGTAGGAGTTCACTGCGGGTTTAGAAATGGAACGCAACAAGGAGTTTGGGAGTGGTTGGATTTTTGTTTTTCGTTTTTTCAGACCTAGCTCAAAAAAATGCAGAGACTGGAGATCCAGAATTCTGAGGAGCAAGAGTGGCCCTCTAGGAGAGAGGGTGGTGAAAAGCAGGGGCTGGGTCACATGTGGGGACAGAGATAGCAGCTAGAAGAAACTGGAGTGAGAGGGGCTGGGATACATACCTCCAACCTGGTTTAAAAAGGAATTCATGATATACCCCATTCCCTAAGCCTGCTGCTCTGACCATTCCCTATCTTATTGATGCAGAACACCACCATCCACTGGGAAAACTGGGAGTCATCCTAGTCGTCCCTCTTCCTAAAACTTCATCCAGGGGCGCCTGGGTGGCTCAGATGGTTGAACATCTGCCTTCGGCTCGGGTCATGGTCCCAGAGTCCTGGGATCAAGTCCCGCATTGGGCTCCCTGCTCCGCGGGAAGTCTGCTTCTCCCTCTGCCTCTCTCTCTCTCTGTCTCTCATGAATAAATAAATAAAATCTTAAAAAATAAATAAATAAAACTTCATCCAATGCATCATTAGATAAATACTATTTCTTTTTTTTTTTTTTTTTAAGATTTTATTCATTTATTTGACAGCGAGAGACACAGTGAGAGAGGAAACACAAGCGGGGGGAGTGGGAGAAGGAGAAGCAGGCTTCCCGTGGAGCAGGGAGCCTGATGCGAGGCTCAATGTGGGGCTCAATGTGGGGCTAGATCCCAGGGCTCTGGGATCATGACCTGAGCCGAAGGCAGACACTTAACGACTGAGCCACCCAGGCGCCCCTAGATAAATACTATTTCACTTCTTAATGACCCATGCTTCCTGATCGTTGCTCTCTATTCCCACAACCATTGCCCTAACCAGGACTGGCTACATAGTTTGTGGGCCCAGTGCAAATGAAAAAGCAGGGCCACTTGTTCAAAATGGATCTTAAGACGGTGTGGAGTGTTAAAACAACCCCAGCCCCATGTAAGTGTAGGGCCCTGTGTGATTACACATACGGCACGAAGCTAGTCCTGGCCCCAGCTCAGGCCCTTCCTCACTCTTGTCTGAACGGGTACCTCTTTACTGGTCTCTCTCACTTTTTTTTTTTTAAGATTTTATTTATTTGTCAGAGAGAGAGCATATAAGCAGGGGGAGCGGCAGGCAGAGGGAGAAGCAGGCTCCTCAATGAGCAGGGAACCCGATGCAGGGCCAACCTCAGGACCCTGGGATCATGACCTGAGCCCAAGACAGATGCTTAACCGACTGAGCCACCCGGGTGTCCCCAGTCTCTCTCACTTTTAGCCTGCATACTTTCACTCCTTACTCACAGCTACTAGAGTGCAAATCTTCCCATGGCCTTCCGGATAAAACCCCAGCTCCTTAGCATGATACACAAGGACTTCCTCGATTACTGCCCTGCTCACTGTTGCTCCCTACCTCCCAGTCTTTGTTCACCTCTACCTAAACCTCTGTGACACTATGCTTCCTGTTGCCTTTGCCTAGAATGTCTTTCTTCTTACCTCCTCCCAAAAAACTGTTCATCACTCAAAACCCAGCTCAGATATCTCTCTGTGAACCCTTTCCTGACCTCTTCCTTAGCAATCTCGCTCCTTTTCTCTAAGCCCCTGATACGCTGTAGAGTAAGGGTCAGCAAATTTTTCTTGAACGGCCAGATGGTAACCATTTTAGGTTGTGTTGGCCAAGAGGCAAAACTGAGGGAGGGAGGAAGTTGGGTAACTAGGGGATTTCTTATTCAGTCTAGTATAAGACCATGTCTTGAAGCCTGACTGTCCACCAGAAAGAAAAGCCTGCTCTTCAAGTGAGTTGGACTTCTTTCCACTGGAGTGAGAATTGAAGACTGGGAGACCCAGGTGAGTACTTTTTGTGGTAGGTGTAGGTACTTTTTTTTTTTTTTTTTTTTAAGATTTTATTTATTTGACAGAGAGAGATACAGCGAGAGAAGGAACACAAGCAGCGGGAGTGGGAGAGGGAGAAGCAGGCTTCCCGCTGAGCAGGGAGCCCGATGCGGGGCTGGATCCCAGGACCCTGGGATCATGACCTGAGCCGAAGGCAGACGCTTAATGACTGAGCCACCCAGGCGCCCCTAGGTGTAGGTACTTATATAACCATTTTAAAATGGAAAAAAACCTTCTTGTCTCATGGCCCATACGAAAACAGATGGGCATGGGCAAAGGATGGGGGTGCCTGGCTGGCTCAGTTGGTAGAGCATGCAACTCTTAATCTCAGGGGTCATTGGCTGAAGCCCCATGTTGGGCGTAGAGCTTACTTTAAAAAACAAAACAAGGGCGCCTGGGTGGCTCAGTCGGTTGCTCCTTTGCCTTCGGCTCGGGTTGTGGTCCCAGAGTCCCAGGATCAAGTCCTGAGTCGGGCTCCCTGCTCAGCGGGGAGTCTGCTTCTCCCTCTGCCCTTCACCCCATTTGTGCTCTCTCTCTCTCTCAAATAAATAAAGTATTTAAAAGTAAATTAATTAATAAAAATAAAAAATAAAAAACAAAACAAAACTGATGGCGGCCCCAGATTTGGTCCATAAGCCAAAGTTTGCTGACCCCTACTTTAGAGAATCAATTAAATGTGTATATATTTACATATCTTATATTTACATATCTATGTCCCCTGCTAGACTATGTGCAAGCCCATGTACATTACCTTCTTGTATCCCCAGTGTCTAGCTCAGAGTCCAGTGCATAGTAGGCACTCAACACGTGTTAGTTGAGTGAACAGATGAATGAATGTTTGAACAGTGGCCTGTGCCCCTGTGTGGAGTGAAGCCAGAATCCTGGATGCTTTTTTCCCCACCTTTCTTCATCTGGCTCCTTTTATCAGATGTGTTAGGGTATCACATGCCCCCCACCCCCGATTTGAACCATCTCTGAGTCCCAGAGAGAGAAAAAGGCAGTGCTCCCTCCTAACAAACTCAAGGCTTCTAGGGTGTCCACAGCTGCTCCTGAAACTTGGTTTTCTCTTTGGTCCCTAGAGAAGTGGCCCAGATATTCTGATGGTCTGTCTCCATGTCTGGACAATTCTTGGCAATGAACTTATAAGTGTCCTGCTATGCAAAGAGGGGAAGGAAACAGAGCTTAGGTCTTTAGGAAGGAGTGAAACAGCCTTGGTGTTAGTAGCAAGGGATTTTCGACAGAGAGGCCCAGATTGCACTAGCCAAAGCAAAGGGAGGTAAGGGAGGAAGTTGGGTAACTGGGGGATTTCTTATTCAGTCTAGTATAAGACCATGTCTTGAAGCCTGACTGTCCACCAGAAAGAAAAGCCTGCTCTTCAAGTGAGTTGGACTTCTTTCCACTGGAGTGAGAATTGAAGACTGGGAGACCCAGGTGAGTACTTTTTGTGGTGGGTGTACTTTTACTTTCTCTGTCTCCTCTTCTCCCAGGTGATAAAAATAGGAAAACAAAACAAAATACCTGAGGCCTGTGTGTGTGTAACAGACAAGGGCAGGGGGTCCTATAGTAGCATCCTGAATAGAGAGGGGGGACTCCTGGGTGGTCTTAGGGGAAAGGGAAAAGATTAGAAAGTCAGAGGGTGTTAGGGTTACTGAGAATATCTGGATGGATATTGAAGAGGCCTGGAGTTTGGAGTGGACAGACACTGAGAGATATTTAGATAAGAATTTGGGGAAATTAGAGAGAATCTTTGAGAATGGGAAAGGACTAAGAGAGCCTAAGGAGAGGGTTGGGAATCTCAGGAAGGGTTGAGGATGCAGAGGCCTGTCAATGGCTCAGGAGGCTGGTGAGCTTCTAAAACAGTTCAGGTGTCCAGGGGCCCAGAGCTGTTCAAGAGATCTAAGTCCAAGGCCAGGTTCTGACTCCTTCTTCCCCTTACTCCTTCCGCCTCTTTAGCCTCCATGATGCAGAACAACTCCGTCACCAACTTCTCCTGCTACCATGAGTCTGTACTGGGCTATCGTTATGTTGCAGTTAGCTGGGGGGTGGTGGTAGCTGTGACAGGCACCGTGGGCAACGGGCTCACCCTGCTGACCTTGGCCATCCAGCCCAAGCTCCGTACCCGCTTCAACCTGCTCATCGCCAACCTCACAGTGGCCGATCTGCTGTACTGCACCCTTCTCCAGCCCTTCTCTGTGGACACCTACCTCCACCTGCAGTGGCGCACTGGCGCCACCTTCTGCAGAGTCTTTGGGCTCCTCCTCTTTGCATCCAATGCTGTCTCCATCCTCACCCTCTGCCTTATTGCCCTGGCACGCTACCTCCTTATTGCCCACCCTATGCTCTTTCCCCAAGTTTTCAGTGCCAAGGGGATACTGCTGGCATTGGTGAGCACCTGGGTGGTGGGCGTGGGCAGCTTTGCCCCTCTCTGGCCTATCTATAACTTGGTGCCTGTAGTCTGCACCTGCAGTTTTGACCGCAGCCAAGGCCGGCCCTACACCACCATCCTCATGGGCATCTACTTTGTGCTGGGGCTCGGCAGTGTTGGCATCTTCTATTGCCTCATCCACCGCCAGGTGAAGCGAGTAGCACAGGCGCTGGATCAGTACAAGCAGTCAGGTGTCCAGTCCAACCACGAGGCTGGGACAGAGGCTATACCTGGTCATTTCCAGGAGCTGGACAACAAGCTGGCATCAGAAAGGCCCAGTGAGGGGATTTCGTCAGAGCCAGTTAGTTCTGCCACCACCCAGACCATGGAATGGGACTCATCAGAAGTGGGGAACCAGCGCAGCAGGGAGGTAGCTAAGCAGATGGCAGAGCAAAGCCATCCAGAAGCACCAGCCAAGACCAGGCCAACTACAAGAGCCCAAAGAACTCAGGAACCCCCATCAGAGTTTGGGAAGGTGACTCGGATGTGTTTTGCTGTGTTCCTCTGTTTTGCCCTGAGCTACATCCCCTTCTTGCTGCTCAACATCCTGGACGCCAACGCCACTGCGCCTCGTGTTGTCCACATGCTCGCTGCCAATCTCACCTGGCTCAATGGTTGCATCAACCCTGTGCTCTATGCAGCCATGAACCGTCAGTTCCGCCAAGCCTATGGCTCCCTCCTAAAACGAAGGCCCCAGAGTTTCTGTAGGCTCCATTAGAACTGTGTCCCCAGTCATCAGAATCCAAGACTGACTCTTCCAGAACTAAAATGGCCAGCTGGTAGGGAGTAGGTGAAAGTAAGACCCGTGGGCATTTTCACAGACAACTTTCCCCCCACCCTCAAACCAGGCTTCTCCCTCTTTTGATCAATGTTTCAGCTCTAGACTGCCCAAGGTGCATTATTATTAATAAATGAATTCTATCCTTTTAATGCTCAGGTGTGGTCTTTGGGGAATAATAGGTCAGGACTGGTTGCAGCTGGAACCTAACAGTTGAGAGTTTGTGGGGGACCTAGGTCATAGCAGGGTTAGGAAGCAGTAGGCCTAGGACACAGCCTTCAACTGAGGGGTTTCCAAGTATAAAACATGAGTTGGTTTAAGAGGATCCACCTGTCTTTTTGTTTAACTTCCCAGAAATGGCCCCTGCCCCTAACTACTGCTGCCAGGATCACCTCATCCACACAAACAGTTTTATTGAACTCAGAAAAGTTTTGTAATCCAGCTTTGATAGCCACTCCAATGAGTCCAGCCCCCTGGCCCTTGCCCTATCCAAAGAGATGGTCTTGGAAGAGGACTCCTTGCTCTGTGGAAATGAACTGAGCTAAGCTGAAGCAATGGCAGACAGGGAGGGGTTCCAGCTACCCTAGCATTCACAATGGTCAGAGCTAAATCAGCTGAAGTCCTGGCCCCTCATTTTCCCCAGACTTGCCCTTGTCATCCTGGGTTATGAGAGCAGAACGGAGACTCTAGTTAAGAGAGTTCAGGGGTCCAGCTGAGGGGAGACCATATCATTCCCTTCCTCTAGGATGACCAACATCCTGTCAGCCCAGCCACGCATGTGTGAACTTAAAGAAAGTACCTGTGGCCACCAGGTGACGCTGGTTCTCTGTGTTTCCTTTTTGGTGTCCCTGTTGAGTACAGAAGGTGTCAAAGGGACAGGGAGCCCACAGACCACCTCCCATCCAGCCAGCAACGGTGATGACCCAGAGATCCACACCTCTCTCTTTTCCCCAAAGCTTAGGGGAAAAAGTAATGAATTAGACATTTATTATTCATGAGATATTTATTGTCTATTTAGTTGGGGTTGGGGGAGCAGGGTGGGCACTGTGCAGGCACTGAAATGTGAGAGTCATCATGACAGTATTGCTGCTCTGGCCAAATGCTATCCCCTCCCTGCTCCCGAGTCCATGGTTTGAGGGAAACAAAGTGAAGACCAGAGAGATTCAGACAAGGACAGAAACATGCAGAGTCGGGGTGGACAGATCAATGTCTTCACATTCAACACACTTCCAAGTCCCAGGAATCCTAATTGGTGGGTGTCCTAATCCAGAACATGTATTTCTGAGAGTTCTTCCACAAAAATCACAGCAGCCTAAACTGAGTCAAGTTCAGGCTGCTGAGGCAGGGGCCCAGACAGGTGGGGTGAACAGCAGAACCAATAAAGAACATTAGCCAGAGAGTGTAGAGACAAGGATTCCGGTCAAGGCCTTCTGATAATTAGCTCTGTGAATCTGAGCAGGATCCTGGACCATCTGGGCCACAGGTTTTATCATATGTACAAAGTTCGGGGTGCGGTGCAGTCTTACCATGTGCCCAGTGCTGTCCTAAAACCTATAAATATATTATTTCATGTAATTCTTACAAAATTTACCATGAAGTATTTATTTATTTATTTATTTATTTATTTTTAAGATTTTATTTATTTATTTGACAGAGAGAGACACAGCGAGAGAGGGAACACAAGCAGGGGGAATGGGAGAGGGAGAAGCAGGCTTCCCCGCGGAGCAGGGAGCCCGAGGTGGGGCTCGATCCCAGGACCCTGGGACCATGACCTGAGCCGAAGGCAGACACTTAACGACTGAGCCACCCAGGCGCCCCCATGAAGTATTTATTATAATCACATTTCTACAAATGAAAAAATTGAAGCACAGAGAGGTCAAGTAGTTTGTCCAAAGTGGAAGAACTAATAAATGGTATGACCATGATTTGAGGGCAGAGTATCACTTCAGCCCACATGTCTAACCACCACAGGACAGCTGCCTTTCTAAAACTAGAATCAAGTTAACAGATAATCTCTAAAAGTCCTTACTGCTTAGCCTTTCTTAGATTCTGAAAGTTGACAATTCTCTGAGGGGCTGTAAAAGGGTTCACTTTTCATAATCCTTGGAGGCAAGTAGAAAGGAGCAGCAATAGAGATTGAAGTTAGACCTAAGGGGGGACTTCCCAATTATCGATCGCTGGAAAAAATGACTCACGGGACACAGGAGGAAACTCTGGAGTCTGAGACCAGAGAGGCCAGATCTTAGCAAGAAAACAACCCCCTCCCCTCTCACCCTCAACGGCCCACGCACACACACCCGCCTCTAATTTCGATAAAAACCTAGGAAAAAGCGGAAGAAAAGCAAGGTTCTCTCTCAGGCTTTCTCTCTCCTGTGCGTGTGCATGGCGCGTCTGTGTCCACGCACGAGGTCCCTCACGGTACGGCGCTCACGCGCGTCTCGGGGAAGTGTCTGTATTTGGGGGCCCTCGTGTGAGTCAGTGTCTCTCCCTCTTTGTCTCTTTATCTCTGTCAGTCTCCCGCGCGAGCCCGAGCTCTATCGCTGACTTTCTGACGCTATCTCTCACAGCTTCTCTTTGTCTCCATCTGTCCGTCTCTCCTGTAAGCTGTCTTCATCTCTTGTACCTCTGTTTTCGCCTTTTTTCCCCTAAACTCCTCTCTCCCTCCTCCCCACCTCCCCTCCCCGCTCTCCCCGCGTCCCCTCCCCAGTCCCCCGCCCCGGCCGTTCTTGCTCGCTCGCACGCTCTCTCTCTCTTTCGCTGTCTCTCACAGGCAGATTTATGGTCAGCCCAGGGCTTCTCATTGGTCAAACGCTGACAGCACTTGATTTAACGCCTCCTCTCATTGGCTGAGCTTGACAGACCGATTTACGAGTCACTCTACCATTGGCCAAACAGCCTTGGCCCTGATTTATGGCTCAGTGGCTGCGGGGAGGGGGGGGCGCAGCTGGGGAGTGAGGATGCCCCTCCCCTCGCCACCGCTTCCGTCTCCTTCTCCCCTGCTTTCTCCTCTTTCTCTCCCTCCCTTCAAGGAACCGCACTCACTGTACCTGTTCCTCAGCCCCGTCCTCCCTTCTCCTTCATCCCTCGGGAGGAGAATTGGGGTGTGGTGGGGGAGGGGATCCGAAGCAGAGGATGGGAACTGGAGGGGTAAAATTGGGTGGGGGAGATCTGAGGGGTAGGGGTGGGGTGACAGTAGAGTAGGGAGAGAAGACTGAAGAGGGAGAGAGAATGAACTGAAAAGCGAAGGCGAAACTGAGGGGATCAAAGGGGGTGACAGGAAAAAAGGAAGGCTGAGGAGAAAAGAGAGACTGAGGGACAGAAAGAAGGGGATCTGAGGAGAAGAAAGGAGAGACTGAAAAGACAGGGCGCCTTTGAAGGGGCAAATGGGCTGAAGCGGGGGAGATCCGGGAACTGGGAGACTTCTTTTCAAACCTCACTATCCAGACTGAGTAAGAGACTGAAATTTCCCTTCAGACAATGGTTCTGAAGAGGAAGAGGCTTAGAGGAGCAAAGGCGCAATAGAGAGGTCAGAGAGAGGGGCAGGGAAGGAGAACTGGAAAGTAATGGTGAAGAAAAGGGGGAGAAGGATGGAGAACTAATGGAGAAGACAGAACTAAGGTTGGGGGGGGCGTGTAGTGAGAAAAGACTAATCCCCACAGGAACTACTGAGAGAAATAACGCCTACTCCTCCTACGAAGACCCATAGACGCCTGCATGGGGTCAAGTCCGGCGCCCCCCCCCCCCCCATGTTCTACTTCAAGGCTGCGGTGGACTCCCCTCTCTCTACACCTCACTCCTCCCCCTTGCCCACCTCCTCAGTTAAATTTATGAGTTCAGGGCTGGCCTTCAGGAATTAGGAATATTTATGCTTCTTTGAGAGTGAGGTTTGGAAGGTGATAAATAAGGGGCCATGGTGGGGGGGGTGCAGCTGGGGGCTCCTATTTTTAGCATGACCACTTTCCCAAGGCCCCCACCCACCAGTTCCCTCTCATCCTGAGCCAGAGAAGGGATCGCTGCGGGAGGTGGGGACTGGGTTTCAGATATCAGGAAGGGGGTTTGACTACCCTGGAGAACCCCTCAGAGGACTGCAGATCTTTGCAGCAGAAAGGATTGAAGGCAGTTGGGGGAGGAACTTTCCAAGTGTCCTGGCATTCTTATAGACCCTAGAGTGCAGTTACAGCATTTCTGCAGAAGATGGAGAGAAATGGGGAGAAGCCAGTTTCCCCTCTGCCCCCCTAAGCTCAGTTGCTGAGAAATAGGGGAGAAGAGCCAGGAAATTCAGAGGCAGGTTTCTCTGGCATGTCACCTCCATCATAGGGAGAGGACGATTTGAAATCCCCCACCCCCCACAGACCACTACCTGGGTCCCTGGGAAAGGAGGCTAGGAATGTGGGGCTCAGGGCATCTCCTAGGAGTCTCGGCCTCCAACCTGTCCGCCCCCACTGCTGGCTGAGAATTAAAAACAGCCAGTAGTTCTTGATACTCCCTGCCCTGGGCCTCCAGGAAATGAGGGAGGGAGAGGATCTATCCCGTGATCCACATGCCTTCTCCAGCCCTCAGCTCCCAGAACCATGTGTTTGTGACCCCCACCCCAGTCAGAGGGCTTGCTCTGGGCTTGGGTAGGTAGTGAACAAAAATAGGGGTTAGTGGGATGGCGGGTGGGGGGGGTTGTCTAAAGAGAAGAGAGAGAGCTGGAGAAGAGCTGCCCCCTCCCCACACACTGTGCCCTCCATTCACTATGGCTTTAGCAAGGACAGCCACAGTGCATGCATGCAAGCACACACACCAGACTCTGCTGCCTGGAGTGGGAGAAGGGAGGGAGAGAAGGGTCTAGACTGGCCCTTTAAGAGCCACTTAGGGTCAGAAAGCCTGGGCTACAGAGAGGGGAAAGGAGCTGATGTCAGAAGACGGATGGGCAGCAAGATGGGGATTGATGCTAATGGGGGAGTTAAAGCTAAGTACTCAGACACTCAGAGGGCAGAACTGCAGATCTGTCTTCCTTATGCTCACCCCCCCACACACACCAAACCAAGGCTGTAAATCTGCCTTCTCAATTGGGGGAAGGGGGAGCGAGGAAAAACGAGATGCTCTCTTCTCCCTTTTCCTGTTTTTTCCTTAACCTGTGCCATCCCCCACCCCAATTCCTTT